GTACACCGAAAAATCACCGACTGCTACGCTTCGTTAAATCGATATGCAACAATTTTAATACCAACCGCGACCTCTTTTGCCAGTACGATTCGATACTCTGTCGATCGAATGAGAAACACTGCTACACGGAGCGACTCTCGTAACACGACTCAAATACAATGATGACTCTTAAGACGAACGTGATTCGTAAGTTGAACATTTCTATCCCTCACAACTAGCGTCGAATTTTGCCTCCGTTCAACTTAAGAATCATTACTGTCAAGAGGAAGTTTTTAAGAGTACGTTCCATTCAATCACTTGTCTCGAGAGGCATGCTCAACAGTGCCATTTACCTGTGTTCTTGATCTGTTCGCAGAATCGCAGATCGTAAAATAAGATCGATCGTGTCGCGTTCTACAAAATTTCTACTAGCGAAACCTGGTGACCTTAAATGACTGACCAGTTTTGTATCTACTCAACAGGCTCTGCAACCATAAGCTTCGCCCCGTCAAAGAATGTCCCGTCTACGTCGCAGATTTCCCTCGTTCTAGTCAAGAAAATGGCATCGCGCCACGTTCCCCTAGAAACCAAGTATGCAACTCCAGCAACATCTTTCTCCGTCTCGAAAAATAGACAAGTTATGCAGGTGGTCTGTTCCAAGTGGCCCCGGCACCGTGTATATTCCGAGAGAGCCTGGTTTCACAACGGCGATGATCGAGGGATCACCTTCACCATCTACCCGCGGCGATTACGATTTTTGTCGGTGCACCAACGTGTTTACCATGCCCGATGCAATTTGTCCACGTCACCTTAGGTACGTGTTCATCGAGTTAGATGCGATTAGGTGCGTGTCAGGGTATCGTCGGTACGTTGGAATAACCGCGGAACGGTGGCTGATAGCAAATTCGTTTCGCGTCGACGCGGTGTCGTCGCTGGAATACTTAATTAGCGTTAATTGCCGCGAGTCATAACGGTGCGCCGAATCGTCGTAACATTAATAGGGCGTTGAACGACAATTCACGACGGTAGCCGGGCAAATTGGACGCGTCGAATTAATTAAGGCCACAAAACCGACGTATAGAATCACGCGCGGATCGACTAAAACACCGTAACCGTGAAACAAGCCTCCCCCGGTTTCGTCGTTAATTAATTATAGGGACTCGACCAGCCAGCACGAGAGGGGACTCATTATCAGATCGTCACTCATCGTTCGGTGCGCTCGAACAATAGCGTGGATGCGATTTCTCCCGTTCTGCCGCGTATTATCGACGCGGCGAATCCTCATTCAAAAGGACAATGTCGAAAATTGGCCATTTTGCAACTCGCCGGCAAAAAGAAACCTTTACGCGAAATAACTGTCCCAGCGATCGAATGCTCGGCCAAGTTTTTTTCTTGACCTTCGTCGATTAAACTATCGTTGTCAGATTTTTCCGAGAACGTACAGATGCTTGCTGCGTAGAGATTTTTCTTTCCTCGACGAGTACCGAAAAATAGCCGTTTTTTCGACATTGTCCGTTTCAGCGAGGCGGTTGCTACGGTGAAACGTTGAGGCCTTGGAATTATCGTACCCGGCTGTCGGTGACGCAAAAAATGCGTTGCATTGTAAAGTGTCGCTTTAAGTGGAACGGCTGCGAGCCTGGCTATTTTTCTGAATGTTTTCGACCGTAAAAAGTCGCATAAAAATGAACGCGACACGTAAGTTCAGACACATACGTTTTATACTGTTCTTTCGAGGGGACAAATATGGCAGTGCTTTCATGCTCCACTCTCTATGGCACACGTGTCCTGATAATAACGCCAATAAAGTTTGGAGCCGTGGAAACTCGACATCTCGATATTCCGTTGATGGTTGATCGGTTTATGCACAGAATCTTTTACAGACGAGTACTATAAACTGATAATAGCTTTATCGGAGTCCCGTGCTTGACTCGATGCTTTGCACAGAGTGTATTTAAATTTGTGTTACGATCGAGGCATTAAAAACGATTTTTAAAACGTTTGTATTCGTCTAAGAATTGTAAATCAGCGACCAGACAGGCTGAAATATGGAAATTTCTATCGCGAAGAAAGAAATCAAAAAGTCCCGTACCATTTTGCAATTTAATACAGCACGGATTCGCGTTAGAGATGAAAAATTAAATTGGTTGCTCACGGAACTCCGCGCGTAATTCCTACGAGAGACCTAAATTACCATATGCGAGACGTTTCGAGAAGTGTCCCTCAAGACGTCTTTCTTTGAGTATCCAACTATAATAACGAGATTCTCCTTACGGCTGCAAGCAGCACGTGCTTTAAGCAAAAGCACGTCTGATCTTCAATCTAAGAGTGTGTCTCACCTTCCTCCGTCTAACTAACTACAAGGGGAAGCAGCCACGAGTGAAAACACGACACCGTGATTATCTAAACAAGGGAATCTGGAGAGCGACTCACGGAGCGTATAGCGCGACGATTGCCAGAAGAATCCAGGAATTCACGATCCCCAAGATTTATTTTCACCTCGATGGAAACGCTGCACTTCCTTCTGTGCGAATCGTGAAAACGAATTGGTCGCTCGAGGGACGCTTTAATATTACAAATTCGGGGGACGGGTAAAATTGCTCCAAGAATCTTTCCTTATCCCCAGGATATACGTTTCATCTTCTGAAATCTAATATTTCAGAATGGTCGCTACCTGAACCTCGACTACAGCCGGGTCAAACTCGATTGGTCCCTTAAGGTCGTGTTCCCCCCACTGTGACTCAAGATTGGACAAAGCGATGCCAAATACCACGGTAGAGGTAGCCAATAACCCTCGAATGATTAATCGATTTTTGATCTGTTGCATAACGAGGTAAGAATCGAATCTTTTTCTGTTTCTCTTCAGGAGTAGAACTTTCATCGAGTTCAAAAATTAGATTACGAGGATTACAATGACCTGCATGTTATTTCTAGTTGGAACGTTCAACATTTTATTTTCGAGGAGGAATCACGAAGCTACTATGTATTTTCTTTTATGTTTACCATAAAAATATCTGTCGAAGTCTTTTCTTTGTTTTGAACAAAAGAAACATAATTGGTTTTATGTTCACGTCTCCATTTTCATTAGTTTTATTTTTTATTTTTGGCGCCAGTGTGTCCAAGCATTTTAAGCATTACGCCACGGTCAGGTTGATAAAAATGCACGTATTGCAGTTTTGAGTACCCGCGATGGACGTTAAATGCACCGGGGTTGAAGGTAAGCGGGGTTGAAAGCGCGTAACACATGGTAAATGTCGATCGACCGTGCAGGTCAACGATTGGCCGATCAAGTTCAGCAGCCAGTTAACCGACTGTTAGCCTGCTGTCGTTCTGCGTCCGACTAACGACATAATGACGGGAATTCGCCACTTACGAGGCTCCTCCTTTTCTTCTCTTTCTTCGTCCGTCGTCTTTCTTCTCCATTGGCAATAGCATCGGCGTAAAACGAGCCAGTCAACGCAACGGTCAAGTAACAATGTCGAAAATTGGACGACGCTCAACAGGGATCTCTATTAACCTCCGGTACGAGACATCGTGTAATTACGTTGGAGAAAATAAATTTAACTTGGCAAACCGTGAAGAAGCGCGCTGACCGATCTGCGCGCGTTAAACGGATCCACCCCCGGGTTCTTAATGTCAAGGAGAAACAGAATATTAGTGTTTAAGTTACAGTGAAACAGCCCTCCATGATTGATTTCCCCGCCACTATTTATTGGTTTTAATACAATGCATGTAAGAAAAATATTATACCAGTTTTGAAAACAACGGCTCGATTCTTAAGAAACAAATTTTCTTAATTTATAGTCACCATTGTAATGTACGAATACGAATAACTGTATATAGATTTGATTCGATGTATTATTAAGTTATACACTGGCGTTACTATATTTATTTACAGACCCTACGGTTATTTGAATTTTGTGACGCAAAGTCCCCGAATGGGATAAGATATAACCGAAACGCACACACCCTATCTTGATCTACCTTTGCACACAGTCGATAAAGATCGATCTCTCCCGCGGATCCTGGAATTCCCATTGTCGGTGTACATTCCTGCGGTTGCCTCTCTTCCCGGAACAATACCCAATGACTCCTCGATTGTGCCTGATAATGCTAGGAAATTACATTACGGCCAGAAGCTACCGTCTTGCGGATAATTGTTATGCACCGGCAGCGCAACAATGGCGTAGAACCCCGCATCGACGTCGGAGACGAACAATTTTCACAGAAAATCCCCGACATTCTCCATTTTTCCGTAGCTCGTTGCGAAACCATTTATTTTCTCGTGCCTCGTGTTCATTGGCTTCCAATTACATGACTTCAAAGCCGAGTCGTGATCGATAACGCTCCACGATCGAGTCCTGCATCGACCGAATATTCCTTTCCGGTGTGGTTTTCGCTCTCGTTATTTCGCCTCGCGACAGAAATTCGCCGAACAGACAAAAATCCCCCTTTATCTTGAATTCATTAACCTTTACGCGACTAAGTATTCGTGACGCTTAAATTTCTCGTCGGTCCGCGGAACTGGTTATTTCGCAAGGCTAACGAACGCTATCGGCTTTACATAATTAAACAGTTATTAAATTATAAGAACGATTTTTCAATCGACTGTCAACAGGTACGCCGCCTTCGAGACAGGATCTTCGATTCTTCCGGCTCAACACTTTCAATGCAATCTCGTATTTTCGACTGCATAACCGTTTAGTGTAATATTAAATTTGAAGAGAATATAAATTAAAGGTATCAGAGATTTTCTTTCTTCGCGTTGTTTTTGCCTTTTCGCTGTTTCTGGTCGGTTACGTATTTCTCGATTTTCTATCGTTTTTTTCCAAGCATTCGCTAAAATGTCCAAGCTTTGCGTGTCTTCGACGGCAAAGATGCTGAGCCAACCTTTATGTAACGGAACGGTTTCTTTTCCGCGCGTCGATACGACGACACTTGCCCGCAAAACACACGAGCGACGCAGTCCTGGAAGGATCGTTCCTTCCGAGCGTTCATCTATCTGTTTTCTTATTGTGCCATCACGCCGTTTTCGGACTTGGTTTTCTTCCCTCTGCGCCTCGTCGCCGCGGAACGATCCAGGAAGAAACAACCTCGCGATATCGAATTTCTCGTGCATCACGAATTGATGGTATCGCACACGTACAAGTGGATCCCGCAAAATGGACGTGAGTGCTCTTTTCATAAAAACATTGAAACAAACCAGAAACTTGCCTGCGCGGCTTTCTTCTCGGGTCGTTCCCTATATTTACGATCGGGCCAGAAATAGAACTTTCGAAGCTTAATGAAACTTAAAACTTTTCGTCATCGTTTATTATTTACAATGACCGTTCGTAGCTTCCTGAGAAATTAATCATAAAACCAGCATAATTATAGCCGCGATTTACTAGAATCTATTTTTTCGGGTCAAGTACCCCGGTCGCGATAAAGAAGCTCGAGGGCTTCTAAATAAATCCCAAACGATGCTCGACTGGATTCAATATTCGCCAGATTAAATACTTGGAATACTTAGCTCGATACGTACGGTCCTCTTGATTCACTAGTGTATTAAATAATTCATAAAAGGAGAAAACCAATTGCAAATATATACTCTAGGAAGAATGAAAGATCGCGAATTAACGAGGACATGGTACCATACGAAAGTAGAATGTGGTAATTTTTGCTCGATCACCGTTCTAGACCAGATCTTTCATTTTGTTTTCTTTGAAAACGAATTTTCGGATGAACGGTGTTGATCGAGGATGAAAATTTTTGTTGTGAAAGGGAATATCGCGAGAAGCGACGTAGCGTTAATTGTCGGTTTGCCTAAACTGAAACTATCGGTGCAACCAGCAATTTTACACGAGAGGGTATCAGAAAAGAGGATTCGTTTGCAGGAGCAGACCAAGGGTAATAGCGTATCGTCGCTGCAATGGCCGGATTATCTTGTCATCGGTGTAATGCTGTCGATCTCGGCCAGCATCGGGATCTACTACCGATTCACCGGCGGCAGACAACGAACAGTCGAGGTTAAGCTCTGGAAAATTAATTTCGACACGGACGATCGAGTCTACGTAGGCCAACGCGATCCAATATCCGCGATAAACGGCGGTCGAATCGTAGCCTGGTTGGCACGTTCTTAGATCACGGAGCCCGTGTTCGAGGGAGATCTTTCACCGTTATCGGCCCGATCGATCTCGCCGCGCGATAAATATTGCTATCGACACAAATTGCCAACTATCGGCCGCTATTAATTTATCGGGTTACCGAGAGCGGTTCCGCGAATGACCAGGTAACATTAATTAACGCTGAAACGTTGTTACGATTCGAGTTAGGGCCGGCGCGAAAAGTGTCTACTCGCACTTCGATCGGCAACGCGATAATAGATGATAATAACAATATACGATGAAAGGCATGAATCAATGTATTTTTTTTTTATGTTTCACGACATTTCTCCTGCGATCGATCGATCAATATTGGCGGGAAAATCGTTTCCGTTGGTTCATAAATCTTCTGGTTTAACGAACTTTTCGGAACGCGGGGAAGAAAAATGTTTTTAAATTTAATTCCCAACAAATCGTGGTACGAATACTTTTTGCTGTTAAAGCGAGTTGATTAACTTCCTCCCGGCTGGAATTTTTGCGACATTATATAACTGATATTTTACGTTGGCCTATTTTATTTTTTTAAAATTCGGTTTCCATATATTATATCTTCTGAACCCAAGACTAAACTTAAATATCTTGCAAAGTCACATTCTCGTAAACTATTGATTAGAACAGAAGGGAGAAACCCTCGAATATCTACCTTTTTCTTTCATACAATTAAAATATGACGTATGTGCAGTAATGATTCTTAAAACGAACGTTATTCCAAGGTTGACGTATTCACTTTTCCTATCGCTTCTTCATGTTTCGCTGGCTCCAAGGAAGATCCCTCCCAGTTGGAACAGAAACGTTCAACTTACGAATCACGCCTGAGGTTCGCTTTAAGAACCATTCCTATACTTTCCAAGTCGAAATCGCTTAAAAATCACAAAGTTGCAATTGCTTCTAACCGAATTCTAACGATTCCTCCCATCGACAGGAATACTTCTCGGCCGATCGTTCGATGAGCACCGTGACACTTGCGATCGCTCTGACGGTCTCTATCGTGTCGGCGGTCTCGTTGCTCGGAGTCAGCGCAGAAAATTACGCCCACGGCACACAATTCACGCTGGTGTACTTCGGATTTTTATTCGGTGCACCGATCACCATATTTTTCTACTTTCCAGTATTCATCGAACTGAAAACCATGAGCGTCTACGAGGTAATTGACCGAACGGTGGATCGGTTTTAATCTCTAACGTAACTCTTCGGCCACGCGATTATCTTCGAATTAGCGTCGTTAGTAGCCCGAGTCTGTGTTAATTGCATCGTCCAACGTTCCCCATTAACGATTATCCGTCCTTGCAGTATCTGGAGAAACGGTTCGGAGTTAAAGCCCGATTGTTGACGAGCCTCGCGAACTCCCTGCATCTGGTGCTGTTCACGGGAGTAGTTCTCTTCGCGCCATCATTGGCTCTGGAGGCGACGACTGGTCTGTCCGGCAACATGAGCGTCCTTGCAATCGGCATTATCTGCACCTTCTACTCGACCATAGGTGGTATCAAGGCTGTATTGATCACAGACGTGTTCCAGTGTATGCTGATGTTCGGTGGGATCGCTTGCGTCCTCGGCGTAGCGGCCAACGAGCTCGACGGAGGCTTGTCCAACGTGTGGAACATCGCTCAAAAGGGCGAACGAATCGAATTCTTCAAGTAAGAACGCGATCAGGTCCGAAAAGATTCACGCGGGAACTTGTTTCGCCTTTAGTTTCAGGTTTGATCCGACGATACGGCACACGTGGTGGAGCATGATGTTCGGCGGCATCGCCCTTTTCTTGTCCTATAACGCCGTGAACCAGATTCAAGTGCAACGTTTACTCGCCGCTAAGTATGTAATTTAATTTGTAACGTTATTCATCATAAAATCTAATTCAGGCAAATTTAAACAAAATTAAATAGTACACGTTTGAAATGTTGCTTGCAAGCGAATTGTAGGTACGGGGTTAAGCGTTAATTCGAACACTTTTATCTCATCCCATTGTTCCAATTTTAACTATTAATTATTAGGATCTAGTGAAAGGTCAGTTCCTTTTCGAGTTAGATTACTTTCAACATTAAAAGTAGTTCAGGATGAAGCCTGTAGTATTGCACTCGATGATATTGGACGTCCTTTTAATATCCAGGAGCGTGAGGGTGTCGCGGAACGCGCTCTTGTTGAGCACTCCTATGACTATGGGTTTGGGTATTCTGACATCGTACACTGGCCTAGTCCTTTACACCGTTTACAAGGACTGCGATCCGGTAACAGCCGGCCAGATCTCGTCGTTCGATAAGATAATGCCGTTCTTCGCGGCCGAAAAGATGTCCAAATTCCCAGGAACGATCGGTGTCTTCGTCTCGGGAGTGTTCAGCGCCACTCTCAGTACCATCTCCGCCGTATTAAATTCCCTAGCCGCGGTGGCGTTGGAGGATTACGTGAAACCCGCGTGTCGCCGGTTGGGGGTACATTTTCCGGATGAAAAAGCAACCCTGATCGGCAAGGTGCTCGCCGTAATGATCGGTTTCATTTCCTTGGCCATGGCGTATTTGGCCAAATCGATGGGAGGGCTGGTCGAGACGGCGCTAGGCGTTTCTGGAGCGATAGCTGGCCCCGTTGTCGGAATCTTCACGCTAGGGATGTTCATCGAGAGCGCGAACGAGACCGGTTCATTAGTGGGAATGATTACCGCGCTCTCCGTCACTCTCTGGGCAATGTTTGGAAAGAGCAAGCCAATTATACCGAATCTTCCGCTATCCATTGACGGATGCGACGAATCTGCACTGCACAATTACCAAAAAGTTTCGGAATCCACCAAGTAAGTAATCAATTTCGGTATCTTGATCTTTTAAATTGGTCTAATTTAGGTGGAAAATTACAGATTCTAGATTTCTAGATGTTACTCGAATCATTCCAAATTACGTCACCATCTTTTTTAGTTATCTTTCACATGAGATTTATTTACTCTAAAGGAACAAAGTGTACGTTCTCTGAATTGCAAGATAGGTTAAGCAAGATGCCGATAAAACGAGAATACTTCGTTCGGTAAAATGACAACGATATATCGTCGAACAAATCACTGGTACCAAAGAAAAAACTTAACAAAAATTTCAGGTTATCTTGAATATTTAACTGTATATTGTATCAACGAGGAAATAATTTAATCCAATATCGTTACCAGATATCGTTTATTGCTTCGAACAATGAACCCTTGTTATTGGATTTTAGGCCACATTAATTGCCCCTCAACGTCTCCTCAAAGATATACAGGGTGTCCCGTAAATAGTGTAAGAACCGGAAATGTGGGGTAGCTGAAACGATTCTAAACAACAATTTCCTTTGCAAAAATGTCGGATGGGGCTTCGTTTTTGAATTATAAACAGAATAGTTAAATAAAGAGTTACTCTTATAAACAGAATAGTTAAATAAAGATGATCCGATATTTTTTTTTTTTAACGTAGACCATCTTAATTGTTGAACAATAAATGACTCGTTACGATTACAGCTGATTTTCTATATTTCAAGACACGGCTGGTTCCGAGAACCACCCCTAGAAGTCTTCTTACAATCGTAAATATTCACGCTTTCAGCCGGTCTTAGGAACGTTGCTCGTATTCGTAGAACGAGATTTCCTTTCCAATAAGGAAATTATATACACGCGATGCCAGTCGATTTACTCGTAACGTTATTGCCACAAAAAATTAGTGAAACGTTCAGGCAGGAAAGGTGGCGATTCCAAGCTCGATAGATTTTCGAGGGCCTCTTTCTAACCGTAACGAATGTAGAGCAGAGGCAAATTTATCGGAAACGGAAGATTTCTTCGGGCGATAAAGCCTCAATGGCGCGCGGGATCCGTAATTGGAATATAAATTACGCCCGATCGGTCTAGGATACGTTATCGTATTTTTTAATACGTTCACCGATAGCATGGGCGTGGAGGTATCCCGTGGTAGCAATAATCAGTTAAGAGGCCGAGATTGCTTCCTCGATTTCTTTCCACTCGCCGCTTTCTCATAAACGATCAACTTAACTATTCATCGTTTCCCACGACTGGCAACGAAGGCTAATTGCGATTTAATAAACTGCGATTACAGCCTTTGAAAATCCGCGCCGCGTTCCCTCGTTACACATAATGTATCCTTTCTCATCGCCTGGTTTTTAACAACGTGATCGCGCATTTTACTCTCCGCGTTGAAAGTTTTCACCGCGGCACGCGCCGAAGTAATCGCGTCATCCATCCGAGACGAAGACCGAAACGAGAAAACTCTTCCCTCGAGCCTTCCATATTCCTCAACGATTAAATTTCTGATTTACAGCGCCACGGAAACGTCTCCGGAGTTCTACCTGTACCGTATCTCGTACATGTGGTACAGTCCCTTGGGGTTGGTCATCACCCTGATCGTCGGATATATAATGAGCCTGGCCACGAAGAGGATATTCCACAAGAATACGCCCGAACCGGATCCCAATTTGTTCATTCCCCTCCTGGCGTCCAGAATCAGGCGTCGAAGACGGGACGCCGAAAAGACTACGAACAGTCAGCTGTTCGTGTTGGAGAATCGAAGATAAAACGAATAATCGAACCGACGATGAGTTTATACGAAGCACGCTGGGTCGCTAAACCGATTCTACGCTGAACGTACGCGTAGATATTTTGGTGGAAAATTTGCTTCAAGACCCCGGAGTCCGATGGTGTTCATCAGTTTAGGGTTGCGCGTTAGTATTTTAATCCCCATCGAAGTTGGAGAAAGTGACCATAAGCGATATTCAACGCTCGCCTCAAGTATTTTCTGAACGCTATATCTCTATTAAGCATATTATTATGTAGATAACGAATAAATTTGTATCTATATAGAACATTCATACGGATGAAAGTTTACTCCAATAAACGACGAAACTAACTTTCACGCGCACGCAAATGTGCGTTATGTTGTATTTAGTGTGCAGAAAAATATGATATATATTATGCAGTGATTATACGAATGCCACACGCACAACATAAAGATACCATACGCATCGCTAGAATATCAATCGAGGCATTATCATACACCACACAAATACACGCATCAGTAAAAGATAGTTTTATCAGATACGTTCTGAATAAATATCGAATTAATTTTTAATAATAAACACTGCGAATAATGAATAACGATTGTCCCCGATGAATTATTCAAATAAAACAGTTTCGTTTGAATAATTATTTACGTTAATATTTATTCAAACTTATTTGAATAATATCCGCCTTTGTGCTGAATATGTTAGTAATATTTTGCTTCGGTCTGAAAATATATTTTATCAAATTTATCTCAGGTTAGACGCAACCACAGAATCCACTCTAAATTACGACCTGGAAGAAAACGTACAAGCGTCTTACCTTAAGTTCTAAGAAATGAACCATAAAATAAAACTTAAGCGACTTCAAACTTATGGACGATAATGTCTTCCTTCCAAGAGAATTTGCTCTGAAATTCTCACATAGATAAGTTTCAAATACAATAATTTCGAAAGTTTCTTAGTCGACTTTAGTTATTTAGGAACATATAACCCACTCGTAGGAATGCGTTCGTATAGGTGGAACTACCTTCACACCAGTATTCAATGTATTAAATACTCAAAATTTTAAATACCGATCGCCACTTTCGATTACTAACAAATCCCACGATCGGTGATACTGTTTTATAAACATTACGTATGGCCAAAAAACACCGCGTATTGTTAGCATTATTATTGTATATTTATATTATTTACACATCTCAGATACAACACAAAGAAAAAACATTTGATGAAAATAAATGGAAAGGAAGTTAAGTTAATAATAAATAGGCGTCGATTCAGCGTCGTCGTTAACCCCTAATTATTAATTCTCGCAACGATTTCATTGACTCGGATGGTAATTCAATAAACGTTCCACGGGATGCGCTCGCGACTAGTTCATCATGAACTAAATTTACCGGACAGACTCCTTTTCTGCGCTCGTTTGCAACTTAACGAGCGACGATTGGCGGAAAAGGATGCTGCTGGCCATCCGCGAGCGAAACCCGCGTCATGTGGGTCAGAGGGCCTGGGCGTCGATCCGCGGCGGAACGAATTCGTCCGCGTCGCGAGAGTCACCGAAAAATTACTGTAACTCGTACCATGATCGTCTCTGACCAATTCGACGCGAGCACGAACGATCTTGCGACACGTTCAATTAAACTTCATTCGACGATCGTGTCATCGTGCAGGGTCTCCATCATGTTTCTGCACAGGAGGAGGAGGATTCACTTCGCTTACTACGCAATTATTATTTTAGTTGGTGTTGGAGGACCCTATTGCACCAAAATGGAAAGGAAGATAATTTCTTACGATAGATAGAGCAATAATAATTACCTTAAACGTATAATTATACAAGGTCCATTCAATAAATAACGAGACGTCTGTAGTTAAAAAATGTATATAAATACGAGGTACGATACTGTTTACGTGGGGAAAATAAGTTGGAAATGTAGTATAACATTTGTTCGAATAATGCTTTGCGTTCGAAATAATTGTATTTGAATATTTTTTTGTGGAATACGCGTAGAATTGAATATGATTTCCCTGGCATGTCTGTTCAGTATAGACTGTTTCTACTTGCGCGGGCATCCAAGTTGTACTTCTTCGTAGAAGAAAAGTTTATGTAATATTAATGTATGGAATAAAACGTAGACGATAATATACATAATATAATATATTATCGATTTTTAGATCAGAATGACCTGGCCTTAATTTAATTTATGATTCACTCGCATAAGAAATGATTGCTATGAACCCTTCCTGGAACGAGACAGAGAGGTCGAGATTTTTTATTAATTAGATGTTACGTGCCATTGCCAATAACCCTAGATAAGAGCAATAAATCAGTTCCCTTATGATTGAAAAGCCTGCCTATAGATGAAGTTTGCTTATCTCCAAGAATATTTTTTTCCAGAAAGGAGTTCAGTGCTCAAGTGCGTATAAGCTCAATAGACTAATTTGTAGAATCATCTCGTAAGAGTTTAATAAACCCATTCATGGAATCCTCGATATAGTACAGCACAATTTTCTAATAACGGGACATCGTTAAAATTAAAATCAAAAAACAGAAGATCGACAAAACAGATATTTCGTTTTCGTCCCATGGGCACGAACGTCAGCCATTAAAATACGCGTTTAATATTTTCCAACGTTCTCTGTGCGACGAGTTCCATAAAAATCGGAGACCGTTATGGCTGTTAATTGGCTGATATTCCTTTTTCCAGCCCTTTCGGGTACTTTCACTCCGTGGGATGCTTTCAACGAACGTTACACGCCGTTTAATTAAATTTCGTACCGAAAACGATTCACGGCGCCTCTGTCGTGAAAAAGTCAACACGGGATCACGACGCTCGTTCTCACTTTGTCCTCACGGTAGCAAAGTCATCGCAATTAATCGCGTAATTGTCCCCTCGCGACGGATAGTGGCGACGCTGCTTTATAATCTGTTTAATTGCAGTTCATACGGGCGTAGTGCTTAAATTTTGTCGCGTAAATTGCGGACGAGACCCACGGGAAAAGAGCGTAACTGCTCGTTTGGAGTCCAATTACGCGCGGCGTTTACGTATCGAATGTCACGTGACTTGAAATTAAAAGCGATCGTCGCACAGAACGGTCGGCGTAACAATTTCTGGCCACGTACACCAATGGTTTTCGGGCCAAAAATATACGTCGAGTCCCTCTGACCACCGACCCATTAATTTTTCGGTCCCTGTTATCGATCGGTGGAATTTTCGTGAGACGCGCGTTCTCATCGATTCGCGCACATTCGAAACAACAAATATCCTATTTTTAGTAACGTTTCGTATATTAGAAATACATTTAAGGAAAATAGTAACTTGAACTCGAACCCTGATTGACAGCAGATATAGCGAACACGAACCTGTATGATATCACGTTGCAAGAGAAATTTTAAAATTGCAGTGGCGGCAAGTTGTTGGCCCTTTTCTTCCGAGACGCCTATAACGCTTTCGTGTAATTTAACGGTCGTCGATGCCTCCGGAGGGATTCATTAGAATTTGACCCCTCGTAACGAACCGATGATTTACAACCGCCTCGCACCACCGGGCTATTCATCGTCGAGTACTCGCGACGTCAGCGTCGTAAAACACCTTATTTACGTATCGAAACGTCGCCTGCATGAAATTTAATTGCATACTTTGATCGCGAGAAGCTCCCGACGAGCCAGCCAGCGCGAGAAGTCGCGATGTTCTCATCGGTAAACAACATTCGCCGCATTCACCAAGATCACACGATCGGTGCCGTCGCGTTTACACGCTTCGTAGAAGCTGCGAATTTTCCTCCCACGGTGAAGTTCGTCGACCAATAGTTACAACGACTAACGCGAGAAACTTATCGAGGGATACTCTAAATGTCGATGGTACATAGAAAAGAATTTTAACCTTTTCTACATTATTATTCCACGTTGGCCGTTTCATATTCTGCCAAAGAAAGTTTTGATTTCGAATTCTGCGCCGGTGTGGATTCTATTTTTTAAGGGGTGAACAAATTAATAAAAAAATTCGAATTTTTCCTACATCTTCTCGCGCGATTGAATTTTTATAATCTACGGATTATTAACCCGGTGTCTGCTTTACACGCCAATCTGTCGGAATCCAACTTTCGAGGATTAGGTATAACGGATACAGGTTTTGAAATGTTAAAGAGTACTAATGTACGGCTTATCGCGTTACTGACATATGTTTCAATTCCTATTCCGATAATCGATCGTTCGGATAATTGACATTTTACCGTAAAAGAGTTCCCGATTTCAATCTCTCGACCAAGAAACGGACATGATTGACATTAGTTCTTATCCTTTTACTTCTCGCAGCGACACATCTTAATCCTTTCATAGCTTAGTCCGTTGGAAACAGAGACAAGAACATGCATCTGAATTATTTCGTCTATCATATACATGGGTTGGTTTTATTTTATATATAATTTTGATTTCACATTTTCATTTCTATAGCGGGGAAAAAATACAAGTCCAACTAGCTGAGAACGTGTCATATAATAGAGAAAGGTGAAAGGGCTTAGTTCAAGGAATTACTGTTTTACAACCTAATTCTATTTCAACTTCTACCTCATTACATCGTACACCTGTTTGTACGTTCCTTATCCGTAAGTATTAATATCCTGCAAACATCTTTATCCTCACCGTACAACTCCATTTCTACCTTAAGTTACATATCTTTACACCCCATCATGTCGACCAGGTTTGTTGTGACAGCACTACCGGTTTTCTGGTCACACTTCGTATGTACGTACCACGCGCCGCATCGAGTAAACGGTTAATTAAAAGTTTACGGTTTCTGCTTCGATCCTTAACCTTTTCGATCAAACGATTCTCGTTTGATGTTAACGATAATAATAGTTTTCAAAAATGGAGCGAAACGTTCGAACGAAATATATTAAATATTTTTGTTCGTTCACAAAGAATACGTAATGTTTCATCCTGAATGTAAAAGGAAAAACATCTTACGTTTGTGATCCCTATTAGGATCGTCCAAGAGAAACTGCTGAAAGGGATGTACCGGTCCCAAGCACAAACAGCCGGCGCATTCGTTGCGTGACCATGGCTGTAAACGGTACCGAACAATGCTCCGATCGAGGTCGATACATCGAACACCTCCCGGTGTAACGACCGTGCCGACAAAGTACGAACAAATGCGCCAGCGAATAAGCGCGGGAGGGCAATAAGATCGTGGCAGATGGAAGTATCAGCTGCACGGCCAGGGGCGAACCATTGGCCACAATCGAGGCTCTCTGGCCTTTCACGAAACTCTCTACCCGATCCGTCACGAAGTCGACCGAAAAACGGACATTCCTCTTTGCTCGACAGAATTTTTCCGTATTTTATTCGGCAATATTAGGGTACACCAGAAAACATTACCCCGGTTTCAGTGAATCTCAATATTTTGTTTAAAAGCGAAGCTATTTTCGAAGCTCCCACTTGGATTCGTACACTATAATTTTATGAGCGAAAAAAGACTTGTTTCTTATGAATTATATCCATTTTATTCAAAGGCTCCTTTACTGTATCGAATTCTAATTTCTTTAAATTGAGAAAGAACGCGAAGCAACTGGCGTCACCTTGTC